ATTTAAATGAATATTTGTGTCGACATTTTTGGCGAACGAGTCTCATCAAAATTCAAGTGGCTTAGTGGCTCAGTACTCCATTCTTTATTTGCCTTTGCCTCCATGCAAATGTTGTGTAAATGATCTGCCCAACTCACTTATTACCGCTACACATGCGAAAAGGGGAAAGCGGCGTGTAAGGCTATCGGAAAATAGCTAAGCCGGGTGGTAAAATCGTGGAAAACAGGGAAAACTCATATATGACAGGTGAAAGTTCGATTGTTTTGCTATTTGTTAGGTTTTCCTTAAAGTGTTGCCCTAAGTTCAGTTTTGGGGAACTCAGGTTCCAAATTGATTTTTTTGGAAAATATCAACGTATATATCGTAGTTTTATACTAGTTTTAATTTTAACTTAGGATTTTGAAGATTTCATTAACTGTCATTGCTTATTTATTTAAAAAATAACTATTGCTTTACGTTTTTTTACGATTTTTTATTTATATAAACCTTTTAAGACTATTATTTTGTTGCGTCCATCAGAAATCTCTGTATAGTCATATATCTTAGACATTTTTTTATCTCTTTAAGAAGATATTTTTAAAAGTCTGTAAAAATTATATTGTACGGGTATGAAATTATATTCTCCGAAATGTGTTTTTCTTAATTTATAAATGGATCAATAATATTTTTCCGTTCCTCTGGCAGCCTTTTCTGAGTTTTTTTCTATCATTATTTCCTTCTATTTTATGTGCTCAGTTGATCCTTCCAATTATATTGCTACAGATAGAAATTTTCTTTTATTTCCGAGGAAGTTTTTGCCCTTTGCTTGGTGCTTACCACTCCCCTTCCGTCGCCATTTACCTGCTGTCTTGCTGGCTAATTTCTGTTGTCAAATTGCCCTCGCTTTTCTATGTAATCTTTACTCCGTGTTCGCCTTTCAACTACATTACGCATACGCAGCGTGGTGCGCTTGGGAAAAGCTTTTCCGTTTCCCGGGCTTGTTGCAGTAGCATTATTTTTTCACTTAAAGCAACTGCAACCATTGCGCTCTGGCATTTCCTCTCAATTGTTTGTGCAATTTTCTTTTTATGTATGGAAATAATTCTTTTATTGTGTTGCTGCTACCGCTGTTGTTTGCCTTTTGTTAATGTGCAAGTGCTGCTCGCTTGCGGTTTGCTTTGTTGGCCATCAGAGCCCCTTTCTTAACCCCTTGCTGCCCGTTCTCCACCGCATACATGTGTAACCTTTTCGCCACTGATGCGTTTTTAATTGTGTATATTTCCGCTTCGCTGTGACACGTCGTTTATTAGCCAAAACAAATAAAACGGAAGAACAAGCTGCTTTAAGAAGCTTTTATTTCGTTCAAACATAAATCTTGACTGAGGTTTCGATCAATCTTAGGGTTCAATACTGCAGCCTGATTTATTTACTGACATTTTGCATTACAAGGGCCATTCCCCGCGGTTTGTCCGCAACAAGAAAAAAAAAGGAGAGGAAGTGGCTTTATTTATAACATGCTTCTGCGAAAATTGGGCAGCGGAACCGGGTTTATTATTTCGTTTATTATTTCCTGGGCGGCAACCGTTGTTGGTGTTGTCCTTTGTTGTTGGCCATGTCTATTGTTGCTGCTCCTCCTCATAATTACTGTTCGAATTTTCCTTTTGTTTCGTGGGGGTTTGGTTGGAAATTAAAACAAAAATACTCCCAAACCTGTTTCAGCGCGTATTGTTGATTTGGTTTTTAAGCCTGCTTCTTACATAACGAACTAATTGCAGGTTACATGGACACCCCCTCTTTCCTGAAATATATTTTCACACCGCTGCACTTCGATGCTTACGTCATCAGTCATCAACTGTCACTGGGATCGCTCGCTCATATCCTATTCCCAAATAAATACCGACAGAAGGGGCGTCGATACTGCCATGCATTTCGGAAATTCTGTTCGAATTGCATTGGAGTGGAACGAGTATTATAGCTTCATTAGAAGAGTCGGAAATTAACAAACAAAATTTTTTTAAATGTAACTTCTCTATTTTTTTTTTTTTTGTTTTTGTTTAATTCTTTGGGAAGTAGTAATAAGATAGTCTAGATTTACTATTTTAATGTAATTCAAATCGGAAAATTGTTGCCAACGAAACCAGAAAAATCATTCACAACATTATCATACATATTCCGTTTGAATGGGACCAAGCTGGATACTATATAAACAGCACGCAAACAATACATTTCATTTAATGCAAAAAGCGAAATACGCGTAATACAAATAAATTTCACCAGATACACATAGAAAATAAAGGCACAGACCCCCTTTATTATTTGATAAACCAGTGGAGATGAACGTTGAACAGGGGATTTGAGTTGTCAAGGAGCCGACAGCTACTTGCCATGATTCCGGTTAACCAATTTGAAATGAATGGAGTCGGAGTCGGAGTCAAGTTTCAAATTGATGCTAATTGAAGTGCGGAGTGCCAAAACGTTGAGGCATTTTGAGGGGTACTTTCACATTAAATAAATAGGGAAATCATCCGCCAAGCAAGCCTCTTACGTCCTTTTTATCACTTTATTTTTTTTATCTAAATATTTTTTTTTGGTTGAACAATGAAAGCTGTGCTGTAAAAACTTCAGCTTTTTTCAAAAGACTTCTTGTTGACATCAAAAAAAAGTGCATACTAATATAGCTTACAAAAATTCTTTAAAAAAATTATTGTGCCTTACAATTTTTTAGAATATCTTTGCAAATAAAAAAAAAAAATACAGAATTGCAATTTTTTTTTAAATTTTGTTATTTTTAATATTCCGATTGGAGCTATATGATATAGTATTCCGATTTTAATCATATTAAAACTGTTGGTATACAAATATAAAATCACCTCACTGAATGTTTATTTAGGGCAGCCCATCGATAACTTAATTTATATTTCTTTCTGTGCATTAAAGAGAGGTAGATTCATTCCCAAAAATGGCCAGATTTTTGTTTACCGCGGGAAGCCCTTCCATTTGCCACTTTACCTTTTTGTGTGCCACTGAATACATTGTACACTCTTCATTATTTAATATAAAATGCATCCTCACACGAAAACTCCCACACAAAGGAAGACAATTGGTGTGCAAGGCGAGGCGAATGAGTAAAAACGTTATTTAATTAATTAATTTTCATTAAAAACACGACAAAATGCGACGGCAATGGCCAGGCAAAGGGGCAGGGACTGGGAAATGGGCACTGCAGGGCGGTACATTAAAGGACGAGCAGATGCTCCTCCCTTGTCCTGTCAGTCTGGCTGTCATTTACAATTTTAATCTCGTTGTGCAGCAGTTTAGCTTAAGTTCAGGACGGCGGGATAATGAGCGGACGGGCCCGCGCTTAAGGATAATGGAGCCTGCAGCCGAACAGGACACTTTACCCCCATCCCACCTGTAATTGAACAATCGCGTATGCAGCCAGCACTCCACCTGACCGAATAAGGACCACCGGCCAAGTTGGGCACGCAAATTTCATGGCTAATAAATCACTTTTAATATTAATGAAACATAAATCACGGCAACTAAAAACTTGAGCCGGTAGCTGGAAGCTGCAGTCTCATTTTGGCGCCTTTTGTTCGATGGCCAAAGGATCCCAGGAGCCCCCGAGAAAATGTACCTCAAGAATGTGCCAAAACGGTGGCGGCTGGCGAAGGATAAGCGTTAGATTGTTTAAGTTAAAAGTTTAGTTGGGTTGAAGTTGGTAAAAAAAAAATCAAAACATAAAGAAATGGAAAAAATAAAATATCAGGAATCCTGATTTAAGATAGTAAGCAAGGAAATAAAATATATGTTTAAGTATAAGAAGACTTTACTGAATATTCTTTTTCAAAAATGATCCAAACGTATTTCAGGGCGAACTTTTAAGTAATTTTAACTTGTTAAATTTAAGCAATGAACTAGTTAAACTTGAAGTGATATCCTTATACTTAGACATAAGAAATCCTAAAATTAATAATATCCAACTTGGTGAAAGTAAATCAATTGAGGTACACGTACTCATTTTCAAATAAATGTTTTTTTTTTATTTTTTTTTATTTTTTGTTCCCGACGTTTTATTAATTATTGCAAATATATTGTTTGCAAGGTCATTGAAGACTTTCTTTGCTCAAATTTTCTTATTAAAAAATTTTTTAAAATGTTTTTGAAAAAGGTAACTGAAAATTTTACGTGTGTTTTGCAAAGTAGTGCTTTGCGGCGGTCCCGCGTGGAAACTTCAAGTTCACATCTAATGAGCTACCTCTATTATGCATTGTAACTGTCTTTTTGGCCTTGTACTAAAAAAGAGTGGAACAAATTAATACCTAAGACTCTATTTTTGCTTCTATATCAGCTCCAATTTATTACTACACATATTTCTACAAAAGTCAGGTAATGTAGCTATTTTCAAATATTTCGACTGTATCTCTTTTAATTAAGCTAAAATGCCCCTATACTGATTTACTATCAATTGATCTAAGACTGAACTTATTTTTGAATTAGCCAGAAATGGGTTAAAATTTATTAGCGAGTCGTATTCGCTTACATTTTGGTAAAGGTATGGAAAATATATCCTGGCTTACTAAAACTGTCAAAAAATATTGATAAAATGTGAAGTAATTTAATGCACTGAAAACAGTAAGTAAACGTACAAAGAAATCGCAACAATCAAAGGATAAAGGTTTCAGAACGAATGACTAAAGATGCACAAATCACAACAAAGAAGATAAGTAAGTAAACAGTAACTGCACAGAAATGCAATGAACTGAATATGCATTCACTCATGAAGAACCAATCAACCAATCAATTGCAGAGAAACAACTCGATTTTTTGTTTGCCTGTGACAAGAATGAGAATGTTAACACACCGATAATGCAATTGACAACCGAGTGAACAAAAGTGAGTAAAATGGTTGAAGACAGCGATCAACGCGTAATAGAATAAAGGATTAAACAATTGACTGCACACACAACTTAGATAACATTTCCCGCGGAAAACTATTGAATTTATGTTTTTGAAATTACCTTTTTTGAAAAAAAAAACAGGAGCGAGATGAAATGGGTCCAATGCACTGGCCAACACTCGAAAAAAACTTGGAAAATAATCAACCAACACTTTTCAAAAAAAACTCTTTCTCAGACATTCAGCTAGAGTAAGTATATCACTTGTTGTTGTTTCGCGCCGCTCGAAAAACACTTGTCGAAATTTCAGAATTGCCAATTCGAAACTGAGTCCTTCTGGTGTTGTTGAGTCCACTGGACTGAACTGAACCGACGCGCTAGGAAGTTGCCCGAGCACTGAACCTGTCGCGCCAAGCGCGTTTCGCATTGGGCCGACCTAGCGCAACGTACTCGTCCTTCGGCAGCACTGGCGTCCCGATTTCCCGATTTCCCGATGTCCTGGCGCTGCGGAGTCCCGTTTCCCGTCATCCCGAGCCCACGCAGTTCCGAAGTCAGCCGAAATCGGCCGATGCGTGCAGGGCAAAACTCGTGTGGCTGCTACTTCGCAGGCAGACGAAAGTATCAGTATCGGTGTCCTTCGGCAACATGTTGCTAGCAACATTCTGATGCTAATAAATTGGCCGCACGTGAAATGCAGGGATGTGAATGATAATAAGCTTACAATAATTCTCAAATTCAATTTTCAAAATATATCTTTGAAATGTAGTCTTTTCTGATTGAAAAACTTAAAAAAAAGTATTCTTTGTTTGCAAGAAAATACGAAACAACACCAATAGTCAAAGACTTAAATGTTAGTTAGTTAATGTGTCGATACATTGCCGTTGCAGAGCTTGTCATAATTTTAGTCCTAATATATTTTTATTACAAAATTATTAATTAATTAATTTAAAGTAATTTTTTTGTACCTTGCATTAATTTTTTTGGCCAACCTGCTCTGGAGATATTATAACTCAAGTATGACTTATAAATGAGTTTCTTGAGATACACTGATTTTAGAAGTCCGACGACAATATAATGAGGATGTATGTATATTGACTTAATATTTAAAGAGTTTTTATGCTTTATGTTGTGGATAATAAAAAAAAATATACTGATCGCGGTTTTGGTCCGGTTTTAATTATTAAGTTATTAAACTAATCCCGTGAAATACTGTTCGTGGATAACATGAGACTAGTTTCCCTTTCTTTGATCAGCTGAGGTGTCCTTTATGTTCGGAATATAATTATTCCGAAATATAATTAAGAGTGCAAGCGGCAAAGGAACGTTAAACAACTTTAATAACTGCGGCTTTTGCAATCAAAGTCACTTTGTCAGCGCTCTCCTTCGTTCCGGAAAATTCACTTACCAGGTGCTTAAGGACCTGTCCTCTGCCCCTGCCACCCCTTTTCTCTTTCCCCTTTCCCCCTTTTCCTCCGTTCTGCTTTTCCACCCACACATCACTTAGGCAAATCAAGGAGACCAATAAAGGCAAAAAGGCGGCAACACTTAGTCAGGCAGCTCGCGATGAGAGCGAGAGTCCTTGCAAAATCTCCTGCCTATCATAAGTCGTCCTCGCATGTGTGGGAAAAATTGGGGTGGGCCAGGCGAAGGCTGCTGGGTAAAAGCACTTTTGCGCTTGTTTTAATGAAATTCAATGCGTCGACGGCGGCGGAGACGTCGACAAACCTTTTCACCAAATGAACACGAAAATTCTCATCAATGTCTGGGGTGAAACGGGGGTCTACCCGAAAGTAACCAAAGAAACCCACTTTCATGCTTCATAAGTAAATTCATTTGGCACGCCCCCAGTTCGTCCCGCGGCCCGCACCTTGATCTTAATGAAATGTCATCAACTTTGAGGTGTTTATTGCGCTGACAACACACGAGAAGAATTTCATAAGTGATGGGTGCGTGAAAGGGGTTTTATCCCCAATGGCAGGTTAGACGAAATAAAAAATCACTTCGGTCACGGCACACAAAAGGTGATTTTTCGATGTTTATCTTAAGCAGGATTCAAACTCAATTTAATTGATGTGTCACAGAAATCAATAGGATTTTGTTACTAATCATAAATGGTGTACAAATATGCAACAAGAATGTGTTAAGTCAAGACGTTCCTAGAACTTGTTTTGAAAAAAAAATGTTTATTTGCTTTAGTTCATACTTTTCAACACCTTTTGAAGTTGTTTACCATAGTAAACCATAGTAATTTCTGAGACACTTTCTTATGCTTGGCTAAATGAAGCAATTTGTTTTTTTTTTATTTATGAGAATAACTTTAGAATTGTTATATTAAATACAGCTTGTGCTTGAAGTCACGCGTTCAACTCCGATTTATGCAAATATATATGACAGGAGCTGGAGGCACTGGAAAAACCCTTTGAGCAGGACGAAACCCGAGCCCAAAGTAATCTTTGAGTCTTACTGTCTACCCACGCCTGGTGCAAAAGGTGTGTGTGCTAAGCAGGAAAAACATTTTCATGTATCATAAATTGTCTAACACTTAAAAAGTGATTACGTCTGCGTGTTCCAACCCCATTTCCTTTTCGGCGGAGGGACCCTTTGGCAGAGCAATCCAATCGAGGACATCAATTTATAGAGTTGCCAACGGAGGAGCTTAGCACTTTAGATAAACAATTTTGTGCAAGTTGTTAACTTTTACGATGACTCATTAATTTTGTAGATTTCCTCTCGTAGTTTGAATGGATGGGATAGGATGGGATGGGATGGGCTGGGCTTGGCTGGGCGAATGGAGCGTAGTTTCTGCTGAATTGTTGTTTGACAAAAGTTGTTTGTCGATTTTAATGATGTGACACTAAATACTTGTCGACGGCCCCCAAAGGCCCCGGCCGCATTGTGATTGTGTGTCGGATCTTTTGCATAACAATGCCTTGGGTTCCTGTTTCCCCAAATCCACAATGCATCCTGGCAAAAACAATAAACATCTCGCATTCGAAACAGATGACAGCACATTACATAATTAGTGGACTCCGGAGACCCTTGGCCCGGACCGACCCGTCCCGGCAAAAAGGTGTGTGGGTTTTGGGCTGTAGAGCGTGTAGAATATAACTATCTGTTTCGAAAGAGCTTGTGGAAAATTGACGTGTTTTTCGGAGCATGATCCTAATGGTCCAACATTTCCTGTTCAGGATCCCCTTGCAATAATGGTCAAAATTAAATTTTTTTCAAAATATTTATTTTTTAAAATCGGTTTTGTATAAAAGTAAAAATATTTATCTAAACCGATTGTGGATGGGTAGTATAGGTCGCCAGCTTTATAAAACAGTCACTCTTATGGCTTTACGTCTAACTTTGGCCAAGTTACAACAAAAGGACTCTTTAGGAATTTGTTTTTTTGACAAGCCTCCAAAACCCAAAAAAAAACTTTAAAAATCAGTTTTTCTATCAAAACGATGAGAAGTAATGGCCACATGGAATGTCATACATCGGTGAATTCGTTATTAAATTCCCAATCGAATGGCGTTCCCAGTTAAATTTTTTTCATATTTTAAAATTTCTGCAAAAAATGATGATGTACCCCCTTACAAAAAATCCAGAAACTTGGACAAAAATAATTTTTTTAAAAAACGTCTTTCTAAATTCTATTTTTGTGTCAAAACAAAATTTATTGTTTTAAATCGATCGGGGACGGATGGTATAGGTTGCCAGCTGTTCAAAATAGCAACTCTTTTGACTTTGGGTCTTATTTTGGCAAAGTTACAACAAAAAGACTCTTCAGAATTAATAACACATAAAAAACTTGGTTTTTGTGTCAAAACCCTGGGAAATAATGGTCAAAATGTGGAATGTCATACACCGTTGAATTTGTATTAAAATTTCCAATCAAATGGCATTCACAGTTAAAATTTTTTCAGATTTTCAAATTTCTGCAAAAAATGATGATGTACCCCCTTACAAAAAAGTCAGAAATTTGAACAAAAATAAATTTATCAAAAAACGTTTTTCTAAATTCGGTTTTTTTGTCAAAACAAAATTTATTGTTTTAAATCGATCGGGGACGGATGGTATAGGTTGCCAGCTGTTCAAAATAGCAACTCTTTTGACTTTGGGTCTTATTTTGGCAAAGTTACAACAAAAAGACTCTTCAGAAATAATTTTGTTTGAAAAATCGCCAAAAATCCCAAAAAACACATTAAAAACTTGGTTTTTATGTCAAAACCTTGGGAAATAATGGTCAAAATGTGGAATGTCATACACCGTTGAATTTGTATTAAAATTTCCAATCAAATGGCATTCACAGTTAACATTTTTTCAAATTTTCAAATTTCTGCAAAAAATGATGATGTACCCCCTTACAAAAAATCCAGAAACTTGGACAAAAATAATTTTTTTTTAAAAACGTCTTTCTAAATTCTATTTTTGTGTCAAAACAAAATTTATTGTTTTAAATCGATCAGGGACGGATGGTATAGGTTGGGTAGTATAAGTCGCCAACTATACAAAACAGTCACTCCTATGGCTGTACGTCTAATTTTGCCCAAGTTACAACGAAAAGACTTTTTCGGATTTTGTTTTTTTGACAAGTCTCCAAAAACCTAAAAAAAAACACCTAAAAAATCAGTTTTTCTATCAAAACGCTGAGAAGTAATAGTCAAATCTTGGAATGTCATACATCGCTGAATTCGTCATTAAATTGCCTATCAAATGGCATTCGCAGTTAAAAATTTTTCAGATTTTCAAAATTTTGAAAAAATTGATGACCCCCACCCTTATCAAAAATGGAAAAATTGGTCAAAATTAAATTTTTTGAAAAATTAATTTTTAAAAATCTGTTTTTGCTCCAAAAGAAAAATCGTTTTTCTAATCCGATTGTGGATGGATAGTATAAGCTGCAAATTTATTTGTATACATGTATTTTTGCTTAAAATTTATAGAACCACACAATTTGCGTGTGAAATTTTAAGATACGGGAATTTACGTACTCGGTAAAAAACTTATTGATTTCTTAAGGTTTTTTTTTCTATCATTGGAAAAGGGTTAGACCGGTTTCAAAATTACGCAAAGAGGATCTGCTTCTAATGTCGTAAACACAAATACAAAATTTTAAGAAGTAAATCAAAGTAAAAGCAGAGTGAGGTACCTTTCAAAAGAGTCTATTTAAGAGTACATTTTAAAATCGCCAACGTTTTAATGCTTCAAAGTAAAGCACCTTCACCAGACAGTTCCGGCATTCGTGGGGTACGAGTATTCAACGGAGACTGAGTACTACTCCTCAAGTACTCACTTTTCCTCGGCACTGGCATTTTCCTTTAACAGACAATGTGAGTGGCAGAGGTTCCGTCTCTCCCGGCGATAATTTGATGTTTGGGAATCAACAAACTTGG